CCCCCCCCCCCCCCACCCCCGGCCTGCTAGGTCATTGGCCCACACCCTCCAATGAGGCCTGCCCCACAGCCGTGGCAGAGCACTAAGAAGGGAATTCCTCTCTCAACTCCCAGGCACAAACGCAGAGTTCACGGGTCTCCACTCTCCCACAGATGAACACGTGTTTTTGTGGAAAGACCACACAGAGGAGTTGGGATCTCTATGCTGTTTCCAGATCTGGCCTGCATTGGCTGTATAGCCGGAGTCAAATTATAGAACCAAGGCCACATTCAGCTGGAAGGAATTTAGAGATCGCCTCTGCTGGTGCATCAGAACCACCAGGACAGCTCATGGAAGCACAGATTCCTGGGCTTCAGTCCCAGGATTCTGACTCAGTAGGTCTGGGGTGGCACTGAAGATCCTGCTTTTCTAGTAAACTTCCAAAGCATGAGAGTGCCGCCGATACGGGTACCCAACGTGAGTATCACTGGCCTATGATAACCTTGTCTTAAGACGGGTCAGCAAACTTTTTCTTAAGGGCCAGTTAGTAAATATTTTAGGCTTTGCAGGCCGTACAGTCTGTGCTGCAACTATTCAATTCTGCCGATGTAGCCGGTAAAGTGGCCGTGGACGATCTCTACATGCATATGGACCTGTCTTCTGATAAATCTTCATATCAACAGGAGGCGCCAGGGCTGTAGTTTGCTGACTCCTCACCCCATGCTGATAGAATCTGAGTTCTTCCCCACCACTCCTTGCTTTCAGCTGTAAAATGGGGATGCTATTCCTGGTCTTACTTTTCTCCGTGGCTATGATGAAGACAAAGTATGATAAACACTCAGAAAAAACATTTTGTATCAGGTTCAGTCAGTCCCATATTGTCAGCTATACTGTTTTTAAGCACAACACCTTCCTTTATTTTAATAAACATTGAATTGGACTTATAAATATTCCCTTGGATTATTAGGCATCACATAAAAAGAAACACAAAAAGGCTAAGAGATGACAGAAGGAATCATTTTGAAGGGTAATTTAGGAACTTTCTTTGTTGTCAGAAAATTTTAATGTAGAACTCTTCCTATGTCAATAATGCCTCCATGAAGGAGAACAAAAAAATGAGTATTTAACAAGGTTAGTCAGACAGAAAACAAAGTTTGTGACGGCGTGACACGGTACTAACTGCCTTCGTAAAATATTTTAATTAAAAACCATTCCATAAACAAAGATGTAACCAACAAGTTATATTATTTTTTATTCATGTTAGAATTTCTATCAGTGTTTGAACATTAATATTTAGAGAGTTTGTACATTTTTGCCTTCTGAGGTTTAAAATGAGAACCACACTAGGTCACAAATGGTAACTAAAACACATTCCACAACTGCATGAATATCCACTCAATCTCACTCTCTTAACACTGTTAAACATTTTCTTTTCCTTGCTGTACTTTACAATGAAAAGTGTGCCCCACTCATGTCTCAGCAAAGTTCCAGACATTATGGATTCATCACATATAAATTCTTTAAAAATATACTTCTGTCAAAAGACTTGATGACTACTATGTACACTACAAAAATAAATTTTCATATAAATAAATTATATGGCATACTTTTATCTTTGTAATTGAAATGACACAAACCCATTTCTGCCAAAATTGGCAGACAATGAGACCCAGTTTGAATATTTCCTTTAAACTCCTTACACTAAAACCTACCATGAGTCCTTAATGAAAATGTTATATACTCTGAACTATTTAACATTAGTAAGCACTCTATACAAATAAAAATTCTGTTCAAAGGTAAAACATAGCTGTAATAGTGTTTCCAATAGAAATAAAATCCCTGCATTTTTCTGTTATAAACTGGCATGACAAATACTGTAGGAAAACATTCTTATGATACAAAATTATAAATATCAGCAAAGATTTTTTTTTTTTTTAAATTAAAACATCCAAATGAACAAACAAGACAGACAAAATAAAACTATCTTAAAAAAGAGAGAGAAATTCTGGTTGCCTGCCAGCCCCCGAGTTCTCCCTTTGCCAATGTGACTACTGGAGAAAGCTCTACGCTGTGCAGAAAGCAGGGGCCAGGCAAGCAGTCAGGCACCATGCAAGCTGGGCTCGGGAAAGGAGTGAGGGCACTCCTCGAGCCAGAGGGAAGCAGACCTCTGAATTTTGCATCATCTCTCTCCTGAATGCGGGATATAAGTTTTCTGAGCAGAGCTGAGTGTTAGGTAGACAGACAGTGTGGCTGACAGAGGCAACGAACAGTAGCAGTGGGGCCATTTGGGCCCCTGGCATATTAACACACACATCTGGTAGCCACAGTCTTGCGGCGAGTTTTACAGACTGAGGTCACTACACTGCTGGTACTACTGTGGGCCGTTGCCTTTCGAATAAGATTTTCCACGTAAAACAGGAGGCATAATGGGAACTGCCATTTGTGCACTCCTACAGTAGCTTAGTCTGGGTACCGAGTGCTTCCCCAACATTTGTTGGTCTCTGGCTAAGAGCCTAGGAAGACCAAACCTCAGAGCAAGAAAACAGAATTGATATGGAAGCAAATCTTTAAAAATAACACCTGGTTGAGAGATATGTCTCTATATACATTCTTCAGTGGGGGTTATGCAATTAGCATCTTCCTGCTCTTCAATAAATGTCACATTGAAAGAATACTAACGATGGTGAGAAGCGGGGGATGAGACACTTAGGAAGCGTGCACCCATAATGTTAATATTAACACTTGGAGGATCACCCTTCTGAAGCTCATATCCTATAGAATTTCTGATTCCGTATCACCATATTGGATGCTCACTATTTTGAAGAGGATGCAGACAAATCCAGAAAGCCCCAACCGTGCCATTTAGCAAGAGAGGGAGTTTAAATTGTAGGGACTCAAAACATCACCTCTGGGTCTGTTGTGGACCCAGAAATAAGAGGTCATTGTCTCCAGAAGATTTCCAATCCACTCTTAAATTTGGGTGGTGACAGTGGTGGTGGTGGTGTGTGTAAGTGTGTGTGTGTGTGTGTGTGTGTGTGTGTGTGTGTGGTGCGTTGGTTACAAGAGAGGTACAATGAAGGCTGCATACTTTAGAGGATACGCTCACGGCCCAGCTGAGGCTCCCACTACGCATGTTCTCTAGGTCTTTAATTACCAATGAAGATGAAGAGATGTGAGCTCTGTACCCTGAGGTTCCAACATCCACCACAATGGTCCATGCGAAGGAACTTATCTCCTCTGAGGCACGAGTTGGGGTGTCTGGATGGCAGCCAATAATCTTAAGAGATGCCCTGAACTTGAAGTGAGTCTGGCAAAAGGATAAGGAGATGTTTAGGGCTAGCCCTCCACCAGCGCTAGCACTAGAGATATCCTGACTCTTGTGGCCTAAGGTAGAGCCCACCACGGGTTCACAGACAGTAAAAAGAAAAAAAAGAAAAAAAAAATCACAGTACAGTACATTGGGAAATCACACACATGTTCACACACACAGCCAAACAAGAGAATCTCATCCAACTACACCTAGAGAAGCCACCGGGGTTAACGTGCTTTCTTCATATTTGCTCATTAAACAACAAAATTATCACGCATAGCGTGTTTGAAAGTTAACAGTAACATTTCATACTACCACAGGGTTGTGATACGCAAATTTAAAATATTTTAAACAGAAACCTTTACACAATAATCCTATTACATAAGCAATATTTGCATAGAATTATACAGGTAAATTATACAATATTTAAGCAGCAGCAACATATGCTGAAATGTAAGACTAAGTTAAGCTTGGTTGTGGCACAGAGACCAACGTACAAATAGGGAGGGGCTCTGCTGCGGTCTCCCCACCGCCTGCCCTGGAGGCGGGAGTGCAGAAAACCCAGATCACACCACTTTACATCCGTTCCTTCGTATATTACATATGTGTACACCTCTTAAATATTTATAGGAATATTTCACAAAATAATACAATCAGTTACAGTAACAACGAACTGCTATCTGGCACAGCACGCCTTTCTAACTCCGCAGCTCTCTTCAAGCAGTTCTGGTGGGGCAGGGTAGGGGTAGGGAGGGGCTTCCAATCTTTGGCCTCTTTGCTTCAGATTTTACTCACCCTTTAAAAGAAAAAAAAAAAAAAAAAAAAAGAAGACAAAAAAGCTATAATAGTATCAGGAAAAAATAGACTTTAAAAGAAATATGTTATTAGTAGTAGAAAGATTCAATTTATAATGATGAGAAGGTCAATACATTGTCAAAGTAAGGTCTACGAGTCCCTATCTATGAAGCACAAACACAGGCAAAACGGGTCTGGGGTATAGAGATCAGGATGGTGGGGGATGGGTGAGGGCATGAGGGGCTTCCAGGGGCGGGTCATGATCTCTCCCTTGACCTGGGGGCTGGTGACAGGGATGTGCTCACTTTGTGACTGTTCACTGAGCTGTGCGTTCGTCAGACATACCTGCTATGGCTTTAAAAGACTGAAATATAGGTGAAAGGGGCAGCTGTCAGTGTCTCTGCTGAGATGCATGAAACCTCCACAGGCTAACTGTGAGGGACAGATCCAGTCTGGAACTCAACTGGTTCTCCAAGGATGACGAAGCTTAGACAGGCAACCCTGCCTGTGGGTAAGAGGTCACTGCGGTTCAGTAGGGGACACATCAGTGCCCAGGGCTCCAGGAGGATGCAGCCATCTGCGTCCCTCTAAGTCCCTGAGGGGTCACTGAAGAGCAGCGCCTCTGAGGCCCACCCACCTGCCCACCGGCCCCGCCCACCTCAGTTGGAGCTGCTGCCCCGGCGCCTCTCCTCACATTCCACGTCCTGTAGCTCAATGACCTCCACCTTGGGATCCCTCCTCTCGCAACGGACGTTAAAAGGCACGTGGGGGTCCTCAAACAGCCCGTGGTCAGTCTCGGGGTAGTCCTCGTAGCCCGGGCGAAGCCCCCCTCGGGGGTTCCGACCGGGCCCGGGCGGGGGGTGCACTGCAACAGTCACGGACGCCGAGGCCGTCACGGTGGTGATGGGCTGGCAGTAGCTGGGCACGGAGCTGCCCGTGGCAGTGAACGCTGGGTGCCGAGGGTTGTGAGAACGGGCTCCCCGGGGGCCCGTGCGGTCCCTATTGCTAGGGCCAGAATGCCCGTCAGTAGAAATTTCGAAAGCGTCTCTGCGCGGTCTGTAAGGGGGCGGCCTCAAGCATTCTCTGGGGGCCTCTCTTCTGGGCTGCTGGCCTGGCCGTCCGGGTGGCAGGGACCCTGAGTCCAGATGGGGCTGCTGTCGAGGGTTGGAGGGTGGGTGCTGCCTCGGTTCAGGATGGACCACCTGCAGAGGGCAAGGGCAGGCTGAAACAGGCCGGGTGCTAACCCCGGGCTGGGCATCGGCCCCCGCTGCCCCAGCCCTCCCTTCTTGGCTCTGGCTCCCGCCTGGCCACCCACACACAGACCTTTCTGAACTAGAGCTTAGTCAACCCCACAGATGGCTGGGAGCGCCCCAGGGAGCGACCAGGGGCCTTCCACCCACGACGACGTGGCAGCGGTACGCCCTGTCTGGACCCTATGCCTAGGCTTTCTCCAGCATAGCTGGCTGGACACATACGGCTGCTGCCCATAAGTGCAGGGCTGTGGTCTAAGTACCCGAGCCGCCTCTCTCCCACAGTCCGCCACCCCACCCTGCCGGGTAGAATCAGATCTCGAGCTCTTCCTCTTCTAAAATGACTAAACGTCTGGCCCTGGCTCGCCCAAATGCAGGACGTTGCCCGGACGTTACCTACACTGTTGAATATGGTAGCCATTAGGGACATATGGCTATTTACATTTAAATTAACTAAAATTCAAAATTCAGCCCCTTAGGTCGCACTAGCCACATTTCAAATGCTCAACAGCCACATGTGGGCAGTGGCTACTGCACTGGAGAGCATTTGCACTGTCACAGAAAGGTCTACTGGGCAGTGCTGCTCTACCCTGTTGTTAGGAATCTGGTTTCTGGGTCTCTGTACAAAGCATGGAGCAACACAGTGGCCACATCAATCAAAAGGACCGTGACCAACTTCAAAGTCGTTCAGCTTGTACCTATTTTTAGGCTCCCGCTGAACAAAACCAGATTCACACTGCAGCTCAGCAGGCATCGTCACGGGGGGTAAGAGGAAGAAAATTTAGGTTATTTGGTTGGCCTCTCTCTCTTTCATGGAAGGGCAGCTCCAGCCTGGGACTGGAATACCCATTTCCTGGAGGGACAGCAGGAGGCCCCCTGTCAGAGCAACAGGAGCCTTAGAACATTCCTTGGGTTTTGTGTGCTGTGCTCCAGGCCTGGGGGGCCGAGGACATCCTGGGGAGCACAGAGAGGGGAGAATGCAGTTGGGGCTCCCAGGGCCTCTGAGAAGAGGCTCCGGGCTGCTCACGGTTTTCCTGAATTACTGAAGGCTGGTTCTCAGCTTCTCTGCTCCTTCCCGCCACCTAGGATACGAGCTTGGAGCCACAAAAGCTTCTGGTGAGGTCTTAGACAATAACGACTGAAATAATTTTATACCAAGGGTAATTAAAAGTAACAGAAGTGGAGGGGAAAAGAAATCACTTCTGCTGGCAATAAAAATACCATTACATTTTAAAACAGGTAGCATCCTACAATGATACGTAGCTTTTAAAAAGCGGGGGCAGGGGGAGCAAGGCATGCTTTACCTCCGGTCCTTAAGCTCAAACTGTGCTTAGCTCAAACAAGATACATGCTGATGGATGTTCTGTGTAGTCACCAATATTGGTCCCTGCCCTTTTCAATCTGTATGAGATACAACCACATGAAACTGACATTTTTATAGTTTAAGAAGAGCCAAATCTTGGCAATTTCATATGAGTCCACCTAACCTATGCATTTTTTTGGCATGCCGTCTGTGATTCGCTGTTCAGAGCAGGCAGGGGCTGCCTCCTGGGGTGGCTTATGACTTACGGTGGAGCGGGCGAAGACAGGGTTCTCGGTGGCTTCCACGATCACTTGGTGGGAAGGGCCCCCGGCGCCCTGCTGGGCCTCGTAGTGCCGAAGCTCCTCACTGATGCCCGACACCGTCGTCTGAGAACTGTACTCCGAGTCAGAGGAATCAGACCCGTTGTTTGTGTGACCAGGGGGCAGAGCAAACCGGACCACACTGGGGGGTGGCTCAGGGGAAGGGGTGGGCAGCCGGTTCAGCCCGTTGGCTGGAGACACCTATTTAAGGGGATTCAATATTACAGGTGTTATCAACCATTTACCTGGTGGCCACACTTAAGGTTCAAAGCACAATATTGTTCAGGGGTCGCTGCCCTTCCCCTGCTCCCCACCCCCCGCCCCGCCCCGGCCTCTCACGCTACCCTGTATTCACTTGGCCCAATCCCTGCCACTCTGAAGACCCTTGGGCCTGACAGCTGGAGCGAAAGAACTGCCCTCTGCTTTCACACTCTGGAAAGGCAGGCTGTGCCCTTTTCACTCCTGTTCAAGCCCAGATATTCTTCTTGAGTGGAAAGTGCTTCATTGATAGAGACCTACAAGACTCAGGTTGCCAATCACCAGGTTTCAAAAATAAACAACCTAAACCAAATCAAACCATTCCCCCTACATCCCCTAAGACTATTAAACTGAAGAGAAAAAAAGCCATAGTTATTTGAGCTGTTTACTGAAAAAGTAAACAACCAGTAGATGTGGGTATACTTAAATATCTAAATTAAGAGTGACATCAGGAAAAACAATATTCAGGTGGTCTGAGGACTGCACATTACACTGGCAACAATTACTGACCTCAGGATACGGTCCAAAGAAGGACAAAAGGACTGGCAGTAAAACCAGTCCATTGAGAACACCCAGGATTGTTAGGATTGCCAGGACAGCAAAGAAATACCTTGAAGATAAAAGGGAAACAGGAACATTTACCATGGCAAAAGTAAATTAAGTTACCCTTCACGTGCCCAAACGTCAGAGCCAAAAATTAACAAAACCCACACCAGTGAAAAGGCTGCTACAACACTGCGTTTCAAATTCAGCACAAGATTAGTTGTTTTTTTTTTTCTTTTCTTTTAACCTTATGACTTTGAGGACTACATTCTACAACCCAAAGTGCTGGTTCGTGAAGGGAAGAAAAAAAATTAGGTTTGTTAATTTGCTGAAATCTCATGGCATGTAATGTTATTTATGAATGTGTTACACAAACACAAAAATATGGAATGTGAACTGAATGGCCGAGCAGACTGAAAGCACAAATACAATGCAGAGGGGCCCCGTTCATGAAAACCCAGCAGAAGCAAACAAATGAAGTGAAGGGTGTAGAATTTAAACAATTTAGCCCAGGAGGAAAAGCAGCCCACTTCTGCAGGCAGCTAATCCACTGTGAAATGCTTCTGCATCTTAGAGCAGAATCTCTAATTAAGTCTCCAGCGTAGCAGGTAAGGCTTTCCCTGGGCTTTTCATTAACCGCAACTTTCTGCCCCAAATTCTGTGAGTTCCAGTTTAACCAAATAGTTCCAATTGCAATCTTTTTAGAACACTGGAACCAGCTTTCGGCAAAGAAAACACTGCCCATTCTGTGGTTGCTGGGGCGTTTTCGGGGGAGGGCGGTCCACAATGACGGGCTGCTCTGCCGGCCAATCTTTTGTTGAACAATTTAGCATCTCTGAATACTCTTGTTTTGCGTCAGCCAATTCAAACATAAAGGCCGCAGCACCATGAAGAAGCGGAGAGTGCACAAGTGGCCCTGCTTTCCCACCGTTGAGGGCTAAGGTCTGGGATCCTTCACGAATACCAAGGTGAACCTGTCAGCCAGGGAGAGTCGCTGGAGGATGTTGCACACAGCTGGAGGCAGCGGGCTCCACGCAAGCATGCGTTTCTGTAACTAACGGTTTCTAGGGCAATTCTGCTGGAAGTGGGCTGGGGTGGGGGAGAGCTCAGGATGTTCTGGGAAGAGGGAGGGCAAGATATCTATCTGTTAATGGTCCTCTTGATCATAAAACGGAACAGGCACCAAACTTTGCTGTGCCTATGTATGTTTCAACATTAGATGAAAGGAGAGAGAATCCCTATAAAAATACAAATACCTCGCAGCTATTGTAAACATTAGAAACTTCTGAGCTGCATTAGTAAAAACCAAGCAGCCGATGTCTTGCACTAATGTAAACTGCTGCAACTTTAGGCTGAGGCATATATCAGCAGCAGGCATTAAGACATTTGCATCCCATCCATCTAACTGTAGAATAAACAGCCCAATTAGATTTCTGACAGCTTAGTGTATACAATGTCTGCTCATTTAGTCGACCTCAGTGAGGGCTCAGGTTAATCCATTCAGTTCTAGAAAATGGGAAGCCCTTTTAAGTGCTTGAAACAAGAACCCTGCTATCTCTGGGAGAGAACAAGACGCCATGGGTTAGATGAGAGAGCTGGGATGCTGCTCTCCACCCAGGTCCCAGATGGTTGTTCTAATTCAGGCTACGTTTCTTCTCTGTGGCTCCCTTGGCATCCCCCACAAGGCTGAGTTAGATCCTCTGAGATCCCACCACACTCTGTTTCCCATGGTTTTGAATTGCCTGTGACCTTGTCTCTCCCCCCATAGACCGTAAACTATGTAGAGGGGGACGGCGTCTACATTACTTGCAGTTGTGTGAAATGGCACTTATGAGGTGCTCACTACATTGTGTTGAATGAGAAATTACACAAAGAAACTCTATTTGACATAGGGTTTTTACATCACAGAGAAACAACTACTAATGCCCGAATAAAGGAAAAGTCAAAATCAAATTGAGAGCTTAAAACAAAACCCAGACCAAAACCCTCATCTAGTTTAGGCATATGTCTACCTGATATTGGCAAACAGGGTGTACTAATTGGGCTTGTTAAGTGATCAGTCGTCTGTGCTGAGAGGATCAGCAGCGTGGCCATCATCTGGGAGCTGGCTGGGAACGCAGACTCTGCTCCCCACCCCCAACGAAGTCTGATGTGCACTTACAGAGAGCCCCAGATGACTCATGAGCACGTTACAGTTTGAGAAGTACACTGGTCTACACCTCTCCACTCACTCTCCACCCAGTCGACAGTGAGCCAACCCTGGCACTCGTTCTAGCAAGGCTAAATCTCCAAGATGCCGACCCGCCCAATGGGGTAACGTCACAGACCAGTGGACTGATCTTTTCTCGTTATAAAGAAACTTTGGCTACAACTTAAAATCCTCTTCTTTTCACTCGGAATTGAAAGGCCTATCGCAACATACACATCAGAAAAGCCTGTTTAGATTCTCTCTCTAGATTGTCGAAATGTCCCTAACGATCCAGTCATTTCTCACATTTCAGTCTGCTTTACCATGGTCCTAATTCTGGACTGTCTTTTACTTATTGATGATTCTGGCCTCACCCCTCCACGGAGCAACAGGGTTACATCCAAGGGCAGCTTTGTCAAAAAGCTGCGGAGGCTGTTCAGAGAAGAAAACGGTCTTTCCCTGCAGTTCTCAAATTCTTTTTAAAAGGAAAACTTGCTCTCCTTTTATACTTCACAAAGTCAAATCCTTAATTAAATTCACCAGAAACTGCTTGCCATGAAATCCAAATTGAAAGATGTATCCAACTAGGCTTGGATTTCAAAAATTTATTGGTGTTAAGTCACACGTTAACTGCTTCTTAAATCTTAGTGGCAACTCAAATGTGAAGTCAAGGCATGCCATCTTCACTTCTTAAGAGAATAAAACCTATGTGAAAATTGTAGGTATCCGTACGTTTTCCTTTCTACAGTTTTGAAGGAGAAGTAAAGGTCAAATTCAGTCAATTAGTGGGAACCAGGTCATTTCTTTCTGTTGGTATTTCTAACCTCAATAGCAATAACTGGGATACCGGTTTCAAGCTGTAGAGCTGCCTTTGTTGCTAGCCCCAAACCCTCCATCTTTTCTCCCTAAGAGATTCCCCAAGACAGCTCTAGAAGGGAGCTTGCTTTTATGCCTCTCAGGATACCTCTGAGTTAATAAACTCAAAAGAAAGTGGAGTCCCAGATTGTGGCAATCACTTCACAATGTATGCACATATCAAAGCACCATGTTGTACCCCCTTAAATATATACAATTTTTGTTTGTCAATTATACCTCAATAAAGCTGCGGGGTTAGGAGTGGGGAGTAGAGTCACAATGAAGACATGCTGCAATCTTCCAGAGACAGAAGGAAATAAGCAACAGAGATCACATTAGAAACTAATGCTTACCTGACAATGAAATCAAACTCGGATCCTGCAAGCATCAGCACTCCTAACAGAGTGGAAACAGCACCATCCAGAACAGGTGCAAACATGTGCTCCAGGGCGAGCATGGCCCTGCGGTTCTTATCGCCAATGGCTGTTAGAAAGGCCTGCGCAACGAGGAGAGTTTAGATGATCAGATTTCTGGACTTTACTTGGTCAATGGCCAGCTTCGTCTTCAATGCTATTAGCCACCTTCATCTGCCTCCACTGAACCTCTCAGACCTCACCCTCTAGCTACTGGAATGTTTAATTGGGGCTGCTCAACTAAAGCTAAATCTAGGCTTACACTAAATTGACCTGTTCATGATAATGGGTTGTATTTGGTATTGATGTAAATCTTGAACATCAAGAATAAAAGAAGAAAAGCATATTTACTTTAAATTTAAAAACCATGCCAAAACTATACAAATGAGCAAAATGTTCCCTTCTTTTCACCGTTACTCACGCTTGAGTTTACTCCCCACACTTAAATGATCTAGCATCACTCACATGGGAGACCTCCAGTTGTGAAAGCGACAGCATTTTGCTCGATTTTTTGAAAGGTCAAGATCTTACTTCCAAATGGGCTTAGCACCTGGGTGCTAAATACATATTTCCTCACTATTATGCTGAGGTTAGAAATTGTGTCACTGTGTTCAAACTAATGTGTTTGTAGTACATGTAAGTACCATGAAGGTTATCACAAGAACAACACAGGGCTGTAAATTCAATCAAGCCTGTTCTAAATATGTGTGGCTATATCTCACCTCTTATGCATTCTCTAAAGCTCTTCTAGGTCAAGGATACTGTTGACACCAAATGGGAACTTTATGGAGATCTTGGTATATCAGACTACTGGCTTGAGAGTGGGACCCAAGGACCATTTTAATGCGGGTTAGTTACTGTTACACCCTGCCTGCTCCCCCCAGTGGGACCCAACAGGGAGGGCTGAGCCTGGCAGAAGCTTGCTCTCTGAAAGTTCAGGCTGCTCTGGGATGTGCTGAGAAGAGGGCCTGGGGCCCTTGCAGGTGTACTAGGGGAGGACAGGACGTTATTCTACTTACTAGATGAAGAAATAAAATTACACAAAAGTATGTAAAGGTGCACTGTGAATTTTCATATTTTTCTCTAAAGTGGGGTCTATGTATGGATGCTCTTTCAGAGTTGGGAGATTTTAGGGTCAAAGTAGTTGTCTTTTTCTCCCGGGAGGAAAGCATCAAGATGGTTTGGAACCATGTCGCTCTGTGCTGTATTTGGGCCATGAGGCCATAAGGGTCAAAGTTGGGTTGATCTTCTTGCATATAACTTACGCTACTGAGACAGTAAACTGCCAGGCACCCGTCGATTCCCTGACGACTCTCACATACAGGACACGGTAAGAACACCATGCTCTGTGTGTGGACAGTCTCTTGATGAAGACTTGGGCTAGCAGCACAAAGCCAAGCTGCCTCTTGAGACTCCTTAAATTCTCGGGAGTAAATCTTGCATGAGGAGTAGAGGAGTTCCTTCACTGTTTACTCAGCACCGGTATGGATATTTACGTTCACACTACCTCAGAGATCCAAGGTGCCGCGACAGCTTAAAGACTGTCGTTAGCATTTCCACTGCAAAAAATCTGTTCTAGGACCAGCCTTGTTCGTAATGCTAGCTACCAAGAAGCGTGGTTTTCATTCACATCAGAATAAAATGATTTGTGGATTTTTAACTCGCATGCGATTTTTCTCCTTTTCAAAAGAAATGGTGTCGTAATCATGTGTTCCCTAAGCTCTAGGCTCTTCTTTCTAGAAGTCCCCTCTCCTTCCCAGCTTAACTGAGGAAAGCAATTAGGGTAGGCTCAAAATGTAGAAAACGGTTTCTGTATATTATCAGCTTTTTATTATACTTTGGGGGAAAAACAGGTTAACTGCAACAAAACATTCCTCCTGAAATATAAACATTTATAATCTCTCCGTAGCATAAATATGGCCCTGAAAGAAGACAACAGAAGGTAGAAGGCAGAAGCATCTGTCTAGACACCCATATGTGTAGATATGCATGTGCCATGTGTTAAGCCCAGAGAAAATCAATGCTAGAGATTGCAAAAGCAAGGCTTTTTGCAAGAGCAAAGGCTTTTACTCAATCAAAGTAACTCGATCCAAGTCAAATGTCTGGTTTCCTAGCTAAGCATTCCAAACATCAGTATTTATTCAGCCAGTAAGTATTTACTGAATGCCTACATAAACCCAAGGACCCGGACTATAAACACAAGTGTGTACGGAACATCATGTACACGTCGCTATAGGGCTTTTGAATGATTCTCTGATACATGTATACGATGGGCTTGTCTCTTGGGTTAGACCCCTCTTGAAGTTTACGTTTCTCCCACAAAGCATTCCCAGGACTGTGCACAGAAAGAGCGGGGGGAAAATTCCTACTGAGAGCAACGCTAGCTCTCCTACTTTCTGCTGTCATGAATTTGGAGGCTGGGAGGTCGAAGGAGCTGGGTGGGCTCGGGTGGGAGAGCTAGTTTATCAGCCCCAGGGCATTTCCTCAGCTGCCAACTCACCTCACCCTCCACTATGCCATCCCCACCAAATCTGTGAGTGCGGTCTCATGTTATCCCTGCTTTATGACTGTGATTTTAAAAATTGTGTGTATTCATGCACACGTATACACCATCCGTCTCAGGAACAGCAGACAAGTTCAGGACCCGTGGTGACACAACTGACAAACACCAAATAAGCAGAATCCTTCCTGGCCCACTCGGACACACCAAAGACACTGCCTACTGCTGACGTGGCCTGGCTTTCACCTTTGACGCCCTTTTTCTTAGATTTCTCCCAGAGGGAGAGGAGTCCAGCTGAACTTCAGCCACTCCCAGGGAATGTCTGTGCTCTGAAGCCTTTTTGCTGTGATGTGTGTCAGGTGTGTTCCTTGATGTTGGAGAAAATGGAAAGGTTCCCAACTTGGAAACTAAAAAGAGCCAGAGGAAACAGGCTGCCTGTTTAGTGAACAGCTTTCACTAAAAACGTCTCCCATACCAGAGCAACGTGAACGGTGAACTCTACTCCGATGCCGACGGAAGCGATCAAGATGACCACAGGCACGGCACTCAGCTTGATTCCAATGAGGCCCATCATGCCAAACAGCTCGACCGTCATCAAAGCCAAGACTGTCACCTTTAAAAAGACACACAGGATGAGTGGCTGGGCACAAACACACTCTAGGCGTTGCAAAATCTTTTTCAAAACTACTCCCCGAGCGCAATCTATAAGGAATTACAGAAACACGCACTCATTGCTGGCTACAAATTTAATATAGTTTAAAACAAGGTGTTTCCTTCTGTTTTGATCTCAACCATCAGAGACCTTCCTTCAACTTATAACTGAGTTGCAACTAGAGTTTTTGGTTGCCTTGCCCTCCATCCTTAAGAAAGCTGATCGGACGGGGTGAATAAAAGTTCTTTTACGTAAAAGTAGCTTTGCTTTTGCTTGGAGAGTCCATGGACTGAGTGAGGATGACTTGGGAGAAAGGGGACGTGTGGTCAGCTGATGTGGGTCAGGTTACAGCCCCTTCACTTTGAAGAAATGTGGAGTTACTGGGGTGGACAAAGCAAACAGTCAAATCCAAGGAAAAGCTTTTATTTGCCTTTCTTTCATCTGCCTTGTAAAAATTTCTAGGGGGATGGAAAGAAAATCTGTGTGGCGGACTTTGGAGTTTTTTGGGCCAAAGAGGAGAAAATACAAATAAAACAATAAACTACACAGAGACAAAAGAAGGAGAGAACAATCTTTCCTTCTGGAGGTGGGGGGCAGCAGGCAGTGAAGGGGGGACAGACAAGTACAATAAAAGTTCCCTTTGCTTTCTTTTAATAAGCTAATGAAAGATGGATAACATCAATTGCTTAAGTACCATGAAAACTCCTACAGACTAAACATTTACCTTTAAACATACCTGTTGCACAGACTTATGGTGCAGAAACAAGACCTGGTCTCTGTTTTTATAATTCTGGCATTTTGAAGGCTATACCACAGTTCATGGAATTTAAATACTGCCATGATTTTACTAGACTCTACACGAAACTTGTTTCAAGTCTGAGAGTATTATACTTGGAGAAAGAATGCAAAAGACAGGTTGGTAATACTCGTTTATCAATTCTGCCCAGAGTTAAAACAAACACACCACACAAAACCATCCCTAAAACCATTTAACCATATAGCACCGTCCTAACTCCTCGAGTTATCGCTCCATTTAGAAGAATCTTCTCTATATTTGGTCTGGGATGTAGTAACAAAATGACACTTGAATTGAAAAAACAGTTATGCTTTGAGTGTTTGTATTTAATAAATGCTCAGCTCTATATTATGGAAAGTGTGCTCAAAAACTCCCCTATCTTTACACAAAAAGTTTAAAGGAGAGGGGACAGAAGATTGAGGCCATTAAAGGCTCTACCTAACCATGAACCTCACCACCTCCAGTAGAATAAATACAGTATGGATGATGCAATCTATACCCTCCTCCAGAGGCCCAGACATAAACAAAACTTCCCGGCTGCAGAAAGAGCTATGCTGAAAGGAATGTGACTTCCACAAAGACCCTTAGAATAAACTCACAATGATCCCGGCCGTCCAGGGGTTTAGGAGGAAGACAGCACACACGAGGAACGTGCAGGCCAGCACCACGCTGATGGACAGGAGGAGCCAGTGGCGGAGGCCGATGTACTGCTCCCAGAAGAGGAAGGGGTAGCCGTTGGGGTAGCTGGAGAGCCCCAGGCTTGTGTAGTTGCTGCAGATCGTTCTGACTTTTTCAATTGCTTCAACGAAGTCTGAGGTGTCACGCAAGCCGTTGAGGTAGAAAGGGAACTGAGCGTATTCGATGGGCTCTGCTGCTGGGACTGGAGAGAGAAGGCAACAGGGAGAGGGCCCATGGATCGGGGCTCCTGGCAATACTGAGAAAGGCAAACGGACGCCATCCAAGGGTGGAAGAAATGCAGCAAGCTCCCACCGTTAGCCATCCCAGATGTGCATCCCCGGATTCTCCACAATTGCAATGAGAAGAGAAAGAACTCGGCAAGAAAGTCCACTTACTGCACCTCTTTCAACATGAAGGACAAACAATACCAATGATGGTCTTCAGGTCTTTACAGTTTCAATCTTTGGTTTAAGAAATTTTAAACAGTGATCAACCTTTGATTTTGGGTGTGTGTGTGTGGAGGAGGAGCCTGTGATCTGTGTATTGATTTACCCTTAGATTTTAATCTTCTAGAAGCAGTCACTCTTTGTAATGGGTCTAAACAACTTAAGAATTCAATTGTGGGAACATCTTTTTTGTTCAGCTGACACAAGTGAAAATACTAAGTTCAAACTGTTTTACTCAATCACTCATGAGAACAAAATAACTCGAAAGTCATGCTTTACTGAGAAAAATGCTTGACTTTCTTATCCTTTTAGTGATCTAACACACTTAAACCTTCCATGCTTCTTTTTTTAATGCAATGCTAAGTCTTCAGCAGCAGGGGAAGAAATCCTTACACAACAAGCATTTAGTTGCTGCCGTTGTGTGTTCCAGACCCTCTGGGGTCATTCAGTTGACTTGCTAAACATGATTTGCCCTATTATAATCTCAACTATAAATTTTCATTAAGACAAGCCTTGGCTGCTTGCCACAAGGCTCTGAGGTTTAGATACAGGGAAGCACAACCCGCCTGCTCTCCAGCCATGTTCGCAAAGGGACCTGTCTTCTTTCTCACGTCCTCCCTTGGCCTCGTAGCCAAGGTATACGCTACTAATATCTCTAACACAAATGCAAATTAAATCCATCCAGAACCACCTTTCAAAGTCGGGGCTGAGAGGTGAAAGGAAGAGGACGCTGTTGTATACAGACTTTTCTGCTCCGGTTTAAACAGCTTTGACAGAGTACAGGTGCTTGGTGGCTTATAGGAATGACCCAACTTGCCAAAAATCCCTTCAACACCAGAGTTGACAAAGTTAAGATAAACATATAATCCCCAGCGATAAAACTCTGCAACAGTAAAACAACACTCAACCTGGAGGCGTCCCCAACTTTCACATGGAACAGCTGGCATTAAAGAGAGAGGCCTGGTGGACGTTTTAGAGTCAAAGGCACGAAGGGAGATTAGAGACTCTTATTTCTCAGTGTGATAGAGCATGAGTTGCATTCGATTACACATCCTCATCTGTCTCCCAGAGTTTTATACTAAAAGAAATATGTTGTTCTGTTTACACTGTTGAACCCTGGGTAGTGTCAACGGATGAGGGCTGTGACTGAGCCTGGAGGTATGGGGTGTAAGGAGCCCCATAAGCTTGCAGGCCCAGTGGAAGGCTACTTACTTCTCAGCCTGGTTTCTGGCATGTAGTCGGCTTTGTCGTGGACCCACTCGGGACGGTGAGGCCGGATGTTGGCTTGGGAGGCGGCGTAAGCCACGGGGTCGTTGCTGACCCAAGCGGTCAGGTAGATGTAGAAAGCGTTGGGATTAATGATGCCGTCTGCATCCACCAGGCGCCGTTTAGTGAGCTGCAAAATGGGCAGAACAGAAGCCTTTCAGAGGGGTGCCTGGGGTAAACCCACCCCTGCCTAGAGAGGATAGGAGCGGAGCTCTGCACCAGCATTTGCCGCAAAGGAGAGAATGCCCACTGTTTGCAAGTACGGAAAATCCCATCAGAACACCTTTGGTTTCTTTCAAAATGCACTTATCAGAGGATGCATAAAATGATCGGCATGTTTATAACACACACACACAGCTCTGCAGATGGCCCAGGAATGGACTGAACCAATTAAATCTGAATATGCTAAGAGGAAGACTGCAGCCAAGGCGGAGAATGAACAATCTAAAGAAACATATTCATAGGAGAGGAAGGGGGAAAAAAAACCTGGCAAGAATCCCCATACGCGTCTGTGTGCAGTTAACCTCTGCTGTTAACACTAAAGGAAATGCCACCCAGTAAATGGAGAAGAGCTATAAAAATAAAACAACATCTGTATAAATGCTGCTAACACTAGCCTCCTACGACCTGTGTATTCAAAAACTGCCCATCGCCAGAAAGTGGAAGGGGCGGGTGCACAGCCGTGGTCTTTCTGGGAACCTTATTCTGAGAGAGGTGGTCACACATAGTATGCCGCATCCTGTGAGGAAGCCAGATACTGTGCTCCCTCTAAAGTGGGCCTTGCATAGGTGAAAAGCATCAGGTGACAGATATACGTAGACACACACGTATGTATGCGTATACTTCTTCCTGTTTACTTTAGATTGAGAGCCGGTTCCGATGCTTTCGGTCTTTTTTAACAAAATGAAAACACCAATGGCAGAAGTTACCAGAGAAAGCGTGAAGGAAGAAAGTGGGGGAGAGTGAGAGAACTAAATTTTAGGGATCTGGATTCAATTAATCCACAGGATATGTAACAACTGTACGTCTTCAAGCCGTCTCTGGAATTACGTAGTACAGCTCACGGCCTCCGTGCACACAGCACGCCCTTCTCCCTCCCAGGCAGAGGAAATGATGTCCGGGGGCCTGGCCCAATCACATTTGTTCCACAGTGTCCCTGGTCCCTAAAACCCAACCCAGCCCCCCCGGGCATCCCCGCTATCTCTCAGACAGACGCCTCTGCCCACAGCCCTGTCAAACCAGACAGCATGCCCCATGTGGCCATAAAGCACCAAGTTCACACTCCATAATAACTCTGAACAATGTACTTTGTAAATCTGTCACCTTTAATGCCAGCAAAAAAGGGGAGACAATAAACAGAGCTGCTAGGAAGATCATTAGCATGACGGTTTTCTGCCTGAAGTAAGCAAGCAAATAAGCTACAAGGGGAAGCCAGTAGTGGGGCAGGACTCATTTGAAATCTGAAGGGTCCAAACGCCCTCCCCAGCACGCCCAAGGAATCAAAAGGGATATGCCGGAATCCAAGTGTCACAGCCAGGAGGCAAATGCAGCTGGAGAATATGATTACCAAATAGAAACAGCTCTTCTTACTTAGGGGGTAAGCACAACAGTGAGTCCACCTCAGATTCCAAGGATTTCCATCTGCCTCGCTGATGAGAGAGCAACCTGTCTGTCCTCCTCTGCCCCTTAGGCCACAGTGATGCAAAGGAATCAAACACAGCAAATCTCCCTATCCTTCTATCCTTCCCTAACCCATCCATCCACGCCAAATTCTAGCCTTTCAAATTCTGCTCCCCAATGGATCCACCTTTCCGAGTTTGAATAAAACCAAGACCGACATGGTAACAAGCACAGGAATTTGAAAGAGAACAACGCAACGCAGTATGTCGAACATCTGAAAGAGTCTGCACTGCCTCAACTATACTTTCTTCTGACAATTGCTCTGAAGGTAAGTAACACGCTTGTCCCCACTTGACAGATGAGCAAGGTGAGGCTCTCTGGGTTGCCTGCAGTCATCCGATTTGCTGGTGGAATGAAGAGACTTAGAGCCAACTGAAGATTCATTCTTCCAGCCCCCGGTGCCTCAGATCTGCAGAGAGCACAGGCTGGGATTGCATGCTGTCAAGCAGCCTTCAGTGGCAGTTGCCCCAATGCCCTGCTCAACGACGCTC